TTGGTTATTTCATAGAAATAATTTCTGTATTCCTGCTTCTGAGCTCACTTGTTCGAAGCATTGCTTATTTAGTCATGAATATGTAATGTTTTGGAGAAGTACTTACAAATTGAATTCAAGTTTTCAGGGGCTTTATGGGGAAGATACAGTTTTCAACAGCTTAGTTTTTTTATTTTGTTTTTTATGATTGATATCGTCACACTGTACTCCCAAGCAGCACAAGAACAAATCCAGCATCTGACAGAAATAATCAGATGATAATGCAGGCTCTAAACAAGCTGACAGCTTTGCCGGATTAGCTACCACTTTATATAGAGTGAAGCTCGAAAGTCAGCACACAGGTACTAACTACAGCTTACAGACTTTCACATACCGTATCTGAAGTATTCACGTTTTTCCGGAACAAAGAGAAATCAGTTTCTACATTACATGAAATGCAAAAACCGCAGTTTGTTTACCCTATGTTTGCACCAGTGTAGCTACAGTCACATTGCAGCGTTCTCAGAAGTTCTGTCATACAACATTATCATGATCATTGCCATGAGGCTATGAAAACAAAACCCAAGTTATAAAGTGTTATCAAATTAATAGTTCACTTTCTAACAATTATGATACTACAATAAGTGAGAATAAGTGAGGGAAACCCACATTTTGTTAGAAAGTGGTACGAAAAACAACTATAAAAGACTCCATTCTTTTTCGTCCTTGAAACGTCTCCAATAATATGTATGAATTTTTCAAAACATCAATTATGTAAAAGGAGCAGCTCCCTGTCTGTATGAAGCATTGTACAGTGTCTTTTCTATCATCATAAGCCAGACAAATACAACATTTCCTGTCTGAAAAAGAAACCAATCCGCAGCTGGCTTGAAAACTTGAAAGGAGAATGGGGCTCCGTTCCAAGCTCCCTATACATCCGCTCCTCTGTCCTCATTCCTGCCCTCAATTCCCAAAGCAATCTCAAGTCAGTGGTTCTATTAAAACAATACTGCCTCATGCAAATTGCTACTGTCAAGCCCCCTGGTTTTACTTCTCGTCCTTACTGCTGTTCTCTAGTGCTTTAATGGAGATTGTGCCAACCAGGTTTTGCAGCATAAAATAGGATCAATAGTATCTATAGAGCAATCTGACAATGATCGCTGGCACTTTGAGGCTGAAAAGAGCTATACAGGACTTTGAATGCATGAACACTTCATTTAGCACCAGTGCCAACAGACCAGGTAATTACAAACAGGGGCCACAAATCTAACCCGCAGCTGTAGCCTATACAGCTTCCATATCAGACAACTTTTTGGTACAGCAACATAATTATCCTAATTGGCAGGTGGCAGGCTGTGCTATTGATATGTTTCAATGGCAATGTTAATGACTTTCCGTACACAGCATGTTAGCTCCCACTCATCCCTGAACACAGTGAGGGGAAAAAAAGCTCTTACCTCTTAACGTAAGATTTACCTTGTCGGTTTCATTAGCAACCATTTAATTAAACGACTGATTTACATGCTGGGCACTTTGGCACTGCTCAACTTCTCCTCACATACATTAGTCATAAAGTGTTGCAGTGTATGCAGGGGCACTCGCAGAGTACCCTGCTGAGTTCATTAGGACTGTCGTCTGCTGCGAGGAATATTCCTGTTTCTTCAACTCGGATTGACTCAGCTGAGGCCAGCACTCTTCTAGTAATGAGGCCTGTGCTGTAGGTCTGTGGGTGGGTCTCAGTCGGCCATCCGTGCATTTCTGAATAAAGTTAGCTCTTTGGTCTGAGAGAGTAAATTGACAGCTCAGAGGAGGAAATGAAAACTGAGTATGGCTTTGTTATAGTGAGTGGGAATGCTAATTTTGCTGCCCAAAACTTTTTTATTGTTAACAAATAGATATTTTAAAACCAAGACCGGCATGTAGGCAGAATAAATAGAATGATAGATGGTTTCAACACATCTAAAATAGCTTCCTGCTTTTTCCGACTGCAGCCCCCGCAGATCAGCATCGACTAGACGGATTGCTAATGGTCATGTCAGGAATTCACATCCCAAAGGTCACAAAAGATGTCTTCCTTTCAATTGAACTTCTGCTGAATTTTGCCATTTTAAATGCTAATCTTAGCAGCCAGCTATCTTCTTCTGGCCAAAAGGAATATATCAAAACTAAATAAGTGCTGCTTTTTTATCAAAGTCCAAGGTTGAAAATGGTAATTCTAATTTTGTTGCAAAAAGCTATTTCCATTGATAACTAAATGGGAACAAACAGATTACATTTAACCAACTCAATACCAATTACATTTCAAATAAAAACCTTGAAAGGTATTCATAGCACAAACTAAATTATTTTTGAGGAGATATCTCATTCAGTGCAAGGTTCTTACTAAATGACTACATTCTGTTGAAACAACTTTCATGGGTTTTTCCATTCTGGACAAAATCAATCACTGCTGTGTATTTCCTGCAATATTGTAGTTTTTGTCAACCTAATCCTGTTTTTTGTACAGTTGCCATTTTCATATCAAAATTGAAATACCAGTTTTCAAGCATCCATCCAGTGTCATATTTGCAGGCTAAGCCTATTGTAACAGTAAGTATTGTTTTTGTCAATTTCATTTCAATATCACCTTTATTTTTGAGGTACTTCTAAAGATTTTTCAGCACTATCCACAAGTTTTAATGTTCTGTCGTAGTGAGCAGCTTCTCCATTATTGTGTGGCATTGCATTATGGGACAATAGTGTCCTACAGTGTAGGCTACACATGCCGATTTTTGTAATGATTTTGTTAATTCCCACAGAACCAAGACTAATACTTGGCAACCCACACATGATAACATCAATATAAATGAACTCAAATGTATTATCCTCTTATAACAACTTGAGGCATGCAATGAAAAGATGAACGACCACCTTAGTGTGCTAAAGGTCTGATCTGGCATCGTGGGATTATATTATGTATATTTTTGCTTTATTCGGCCGAAGGGCAAACCCGAGCAAGATATAAAGTGGAAAAAAAGGTTTCCTGTTTTGTGTGGCCTGTGGTTAGATGAAAACACTGTATTATTCACTTTGTGGCTGGTACATGTCACATGCTGCAGCTTCAAACCCACCTCATTTCTGTGCTCCAAGTAATCACAACCAATACAAACGACTTTCCTTAAAAGGTTTGGTGACAGTTTCATTTTGAACCTGCAATTTACATATACACCTGTAGATAAGTGGACTAAAATAGTAAGTTAAACAAAAGACAATAAACACAACCTGAACGCTCCCTTTAGCCTACATATTTTGTACAAGTAAAAGTGAAGCAAAACCGCTTTGCAACTTCAGAACGAGTAGGAACTTCTGAGCCTCTAAACAAATAAGCTTTCCACTGTCAGTCATTATGTTAATTCGTTAATGCAGATTAAAAAGTAATTGTTAACAATGTGTACACAGAATAATCTGCCTTGGCTGACTGCTGTGGAACAGATAAGAATAGGCGGCAGAGATGTCCAGTGTAGGGCATTATACTGTATGCTTCAGTACACTCTTTTGTTCCTACTGTGCTCATGTAAAAAGATTCAGCAGGAGCAGAACCCGCTGTAACCTTATCTGCCCCTTTATTTTCCCTCCACTCAGTCAAATTTCATCTGCAGTAATGAGGTGTTCATTTAACCTATGGCTTGTTTGTAGCACTTTGGAGGTTTGTCTTAATGAGAGACTAATCTAGACATTACTCACAGGCTGCATGTTGAGATGTCAGTGGTCATTTGCACACTTTGACCATCTTCTTTCTTTTTCCATCTGTAAAACTCATAACATGTTAAAAATACTACTTACAGTTTAAGTTTAAAAGCTGTGAGGCTTAATAAATTACAGAGAAAAATAAATAAATCACATTTTGCAAAGATGTGAGACTTTCAATAGTAGTGTTACAACTAATTGTATTGTCTGCGGTATTTGTTAAATTAACAGATTTGACCATAACATTACAGAACGTTGATTAAGGCCCATCACTATCCCAAATAAAACCAGTAAATCTTCTTTACGTTTGAAACACTAAAACTAATCAAAACTAATTACTAAAAGCCTGTCCACACAGACGGTGGAAAAGCAAACCTCTCTAAGTAAAAGATTGTGTTATTTAGATTCAGTGATGAATGCTAGCCAAGATGCTAGTCAGTCTCAATAGCTTCTTTCCATTATTGATGTACTGGGCTGTTTACTCGTCATTAGCATTTTGTTCTCACTGTTTGTTTGATCTGGATTAAGGGGAATACAAATGTTGCTAAATGACAGTAAGAATGCTAAAGGGACAATAAACTCTCACGCCTTCAACTCCTGTCTCATAACATTGTGGAGCAGTTTATTCTCCACCAGAGGAGGTTAAACTAGATTTTACACCTCCCAGTTGTATGCCTCCATCAACCAGTGGAGTTGCAGTTTACATCAATGCCTTTCAAAAAATCTCATCAATTTATAATGCTATCCTGTTAGTCAGCTGTGGTCGTTTTCAACATTGGCATTCTAATTCTTCAGGTATGTTTAAAGACACTTTTTGAGAGGTCACGGTGACTTTTGAGCATGGAAATCAGACTCAAATCCTTGAGTCCAAGTGGGCTTTTGTGCCAAATTTAAAGGAATTCCCTTCAGCTATTCATGAAATATGTCATTTAACAGAATGGGATGTTTATACAGATCTAGGGAGGGAAATACAAACTACTGACAGCTGCATTATAAGACTAGTATAGAGCCATGACTATGACCAAATGCCTTGATTTAACATTAGAGAGTAAAACTTCTGCAGACTTATGGTATGAAAGAACCTTCATCTTAACACTCAACCTGGTTATATGTAATGGAAAAGCTCATCATTATACCCACTCAACAGCTGACACCTTTTGTCTCCCCGTCTGTTCTCTTAGATGTCAAGTTAATTCAAAGAGGTAAAAAACTGGAGGCCGACCACTTTATGTAAAAGTTCGATCACATCTGTTTCTCAAACGTGCCATATGAAAGGATCAAAACGACACAGCAGGGAAATGATAGACATATTTCTTATTCAGGTGGACAGCCAGTTAAATGAGTGATGAGCATGTCATAGCATGTGTGTACAGGACAAAACAGATCACTAAGGTATAATGTGGAGGAGGAACAAACACATCTATAAAGCTTTGTATACAACAACTTCTCTAGGATAGCATTAGGACACTGTTTTTATTTTATTGTGTATGTGCAAGGTACAAGTTCATGGCAGAAATTACAATATAAACACTGCAAGTGCGCATCTTGGCTGAAAGAATGGCGGTTAACAGATGCTGTCGGGCATATCCACCTCCAGACTCAGGCTGTTCGTCTCGATGTCAGGGTTGGGGGGGGGGTCTAAGAGGTCAGGTGCCTTCTCGCACAATTTACAACATCTTCCTCTTCTCAAACTCCTACAGGAGATGGGCAAGAAAAAGAAAGGAAGAATGAGACACAATGTGAAAATGAAGTGAGACAGAAGTGAATGATTTATTCATGCAAACTTCACAGTCTCTGTTTTGATCCCATGTATCAGATTTGCTGTTGAGCCGGGGAAAGCGAGGCGGCTGGAGCTCTGGAGAGCTTGTTGAGTTTTTCTTTCCTTCCTGGAGTGCATAACATGTTGCGCTGTACGTGTCAGTTAGTTCCAGTTGTCAACAGTAAAACAGTTCACTTCCTGTGATTGATAGAGGCTGCACATCTGCACGGATCTGATTTATGAGAGGTTACAGTCACTGTGTTTATCAGCACAGTCCAACCATGTGACTACAAATGAGAAAGCATTATGTTAGCCATTAAAAAGGATGTAGCTATTTACATATTCAATTTAGGAAATATCACGCAAACCGTAGGATGATAGAATATGTCGTTCCCCAAGAATTTCCCATTCCACAGGGGGAAAGTAACTTTAATGCAAATGTCATTTATCAGGTCTGCAGAACACACAAGCTCTCAGGCACATGTTGGCCCGCTCCTCGACGGCCTGTGGAAACCTGGAGGACTACTGCCCCCTTCAGGAGGAAATATATTAAGAAGTGCTTGAGAGGCAATATCGGCCCCCACTAACCTCCACTTTCTGGGAAGGACGGAATAAAGAGAGAAGACATTTTGGGTGCAAGGGAGATTTTTTGCTTTATAGATGCAGTGGGGTGAAGGAGAGAGAGAGGCGCAGGGATCAGTAATTAGGGATAAAGCTGTAGAGGAAATGAGCAAAAGAAGAGCAATGGGATGGCGAGACAGAAGGGGGAGGATGGGAGTGACATACGCAGACAGATGCTTTGTTAGTCCACAGAGGCAGACAGTAACTCAAGGGTAGAAGACAGGAATCATAGTGTGGAGGTAAGGTGGCAGAGTTGTTTGTGACAGGGAGGGGGAGGGGGAGGAAAGACCCAGACTCTTTGTGGGAGACAGACTGGGATGCCTGACAAGTCAAGAGGAAAAGTGGAGGTGGGAGTAAAATGGAGGTTGCCACTCGTAAGGGCAGGTGAAAATAAACCTGGAGCCAGATGTTTGAGGTATAAATAAGCCCCGCGAGCGCCGCCTTGAACTTTTGAATATATTACACAAACAGAATCTGGAGATTAAATGCGTACCGCTTCTGTTTGTCTGCTCCCATCCCAACACATGAGAATATTGAGCAGGATGGAATAATATTATTATCTGCTGCTGCGATTAGAAGCTCCAGATATTTTGTAAACAACTAAAAAGGTCATCATTATTCTACCTTGCATATGAATCAGGCTCTTCTCAGATAAACAAGTGAAACCACAATATGTTTTCTGCTCTCTTTTCTCTGCACTGAAAACTCCTTTGGATATCACTGCATAATTCATTCACTTATAATGTACTATTTTCCAGTTGCGTTGCATCTTTTTGAATATATATATATATATATATATGACATAGGGTTATTTGGAGAACATTAGTAAAGCTGAAATATAAACAAAAAAACGTGTTGATTTCAGGACAATGATACACTTGTGCCAAATAAGAAGATCACCATTTGCACAATGTCTGTCCTGAGCATATTAAAAATACAATGCTTTAGTTAGGGAGCTTCATAGACAACCATCAAATCTGCTAAATCACAAACACCCGAGTGACTGACAGCTTCATTTAGTAATACAAACATTTCAAATCAGAAACAATTTAGTATATGTTAAGACACATAAGATAGATTTATAAATATATTTAAGATTTCCTTGGTTCGGATACGAAAAGTTTTTTGCATTTCCTGTGCAATATAAACACTGCAAGTGCAGGAGGGATTTATTGTATTTTTAATGATCTCAGTAGTGACAGTGTAAATTCAACAGTTATTCCATGTATCCCTCTTAGAAATGTTAAGAGAAAACAAGATCTGATGCCATACAATATTACTTTTGGTTAAATGGCTGGAAAGATTAAACATTTTGAGTAAGACAGAGCAATACTAGCTAACCACTTCCTGTTTACAAGAACCCATATTTTCAGAGTGTATCTGTAATTATTATCTCCAGGAACTGTAGTGCATTTTCTGTGGCCAAAAAGCCTCCGCAGCAGAGTTAGTTCAATTTGATGAAGTTCCACCGAGATGGAGCAGCCATTGTATTATCTTGCATTAGTAAATGGACTGTACTTATATAGCACTTTATCCAGTCTTTAGGACCCCTCAAAGCACTTTATATATGTAATTCACCCATTTACACCAATTCACACAGAGCCGTGTACCTTACTCTAGGAACTAACATTCATACACACTCACACCATCGCCATGCCATCGGGAGCAACTCAGGGTTAAGTATCTTGCCCGGATACATCGACCCACAACCTTCTGGTTGAAAGACGAGAGCACCCCCTCGCAGCCATAGTCTCCTCAGTAATTGGCAACCCTAACTCACATGACGATGAATCTTTCTGTTGTTATTATGAACGAGGAAACATCCGCCGTTTGAAAAAAGACAATGAATGAATGTATGAACTAGACAAGGAGGTTATTTCTTTCATCTTACTTTTTTTTTTGTACCTAAATCCATCAACTGTAACTGTAAGTATGATGCTTATACCTCTAATGGATAAGATGACGCATGTATCTAATGAGTCTTCACTTCTCCTGCAGGTGAGACAGCAGAGATGCTCCCCCCCTCCCCCCTGAGTCAGGGGCCGCGTTGTTTCTGCCGTAACGCCTACTTGCTTCTATTACTTCGATAGCGGCAGCCAATGAGATTAACAGAGATGTATGAACACAATGTGCAGCAAAATGAACAACCACATTGCACATTTTTCATCATTACACACAATGATTATGAATTAAACTTTGAGAACAAAAACGTGTGCAAATCTATATCGGCGAGCAGGAGCGCCAGCAGTGCTAATGAAAGTATAAGATGATGAATGGGTGTAATACATGCTTTCACTTTTTATACATCTTGTTAACAGTGCTTCCCCAAAGATAAATGGGAATAAAGAAGCAGGGGCACCAATTCAGCCACTGTCAACATGCGATTATTAATTTCTGACATTCTTTACGGCGTATTAAAAGTTCAATCTCAAATATTGCTACGACCAGAATATATTTTTTCGTCCTAAATCGACCATCTTCAATGTGTAACTGCTTGGTGGTGAAAGATGGTGCCACAAGTGACCAGAATCACAAGATATTTAATTTTTACGGTATAATTACGATGATTACATAACGTCAGCTCTAATGAGCTAACATATTTCTCTGTGTAATGAAAGGATAATCATATGATTGGTTTAGTTTATTTGTGTAAAATGTTACCATTATTAGTATAAAATGTCATGCCAAAATCATGTAACATCGAAAATGTAATATCAACACTCCAGACAGAAATTGAAGATGGAAGCTGAAGTAAGGGAGAGGAAAAGAGATACAAGTCAGAAAGAGATTACCGTAATTTTCGGACTATAAGCTGCGCCTTTTTTCCCATTTTTCGACGCTGCGGCTTATATAACGGTGCGGCTAATCTATGGATTTTTACAGCTAACGGCCACCACCTTTAACTCTATGGGCTCTATGGAGGGTCCGCAGACTCCCACCTTTAAGCGGCGGGCTCCAGCAGGAAAAGCTGGAGGCCGGAAAAGAGTGAGACAGGTAGCGCGCAAAAGTAAAAGTGGAACCGAGAGTGGTACGAGAGACAGAACGAGAGCAAGACAGACAGACATTACGAGAGCGAGACAGTTTGTCCCCGTACCACTGGTTGAAAACCACTGCTGTAGATCACTGCCGGTACGTGCGCTGGGAGCACACCGTTTAAGTTTGAAAGTTGAAAAGTTTGTGTGTCTGAAACGCTATGTGATACAGTACAGTTTACACAGCACAGTACATGTTCTGTAGCTACTATTGCACTAAATGGTAACACTTGAATACGTTATGCAAATATGCAACTTGTTTGTTGAAATGTTAATAAATGGGAGCTTCCTCAAACAGCCATCTCTTTCCCGACAATCCCCTCTGTGCACGAACCCTTACATATGGTAATTAAACATTAAAACACCTGCGGCTTATAGTCCAGTGCGGATTATATATGTACACATCATTCAATTTAGCTGCTGCGGCTTATATTCAGGTGCGCCTTATAGTCCGAAAATTACGGTAGATTTATGGAGGAGGCCAACAAAAAACTAAAAATTAATCAGACCATCGGAGCCCAATACCTCTGGTATTATTTTGAATGATTATTCAGACATGACCTTCTGTTGCCTTATTGTTTATTTAGATGTCATTCAGATGTAAAAGGAATGTTAGAGGAGGAGAGACGAATGATGATGAAACTATTACTCAGTCCGACGTAGTCAGATTGTCAATTTTAGGGTACAAGCATAACGGTTTTTAGGAAAGATCTTATGTCAATGGGAGTTAAACATTATGTAAATATTATCAGCAAAACATACTTTGAGTATCAAAAGTAAATGTATTCATGTATATTTAGATGTAATCTATATCATTGTATTATTAATACTCAATCGTAACCTGTAATTAAAGGTAGAAGGTCAGATAATTGTGTGGAGTAAAGAATTAAAATATTACTCTCTAAAATGTTGTGAAGAAGCAAGAATTAGAAATATTTAAGTCAAAAACATGCCGCTCATACTCATAGTACATAAAGTGTTGATGATGCCTTCTCTTTCAGCCGGTGTATAAATAATAATATCTAGCTGGACTGAAGGACTCACCTTGAAAATGGTGCTGCCCAGCTGAGCAGGGGACATGCTGACCACCACTCCAGCTGACTGGAGGGCTTCAATCTTCTCTTTGGCTCCCCCCTTCCCACCAGCAATGATGGCGCCAGCGTGGCCCATCCTGCGGCCGGGGGGGGCCGTTAGCCCGGCGATGAAGGACACCACAGGCTTTGCATTAGCACCCTGGAGAAAATAGAGGGATAGAAAAAAAAACATGAGCATAAAGTTCTGTGAAAATGGACAAAAACAGAATAAGATCAAGGGAAAGAGTGAGGATGTGAGTGCAGTTAGCACAGCGACAAAGTGTATGAGGAGGAAGGAAGGGAGAAAAACTAGAAATGGATGAAAACAGCGAGCATTAGCTTTCTGCACCTGCATTCTATTCATTCATAAGAAATTAAACACCCCATGTCCTCCCATTACAGATGATAACAGGCTTGTCTAACCAGCCAGCTCTGCCTCGGTCTACATTATTAAAACAAAGGGTCAATCAAGCCATTTAATTGCATGGGTTGGTGTATGACCAGAGAGGGGCTCAGCCCCCTGCCACTTCATATCATCTCATTCCTGAGATGGTAATTAGTCATGCAGGCACTGATTAGCTCGGTGGCTGTCTGTGCTGCCTGCTCGCTGATGGATGTTACGTTCAACAGTTAAGATCATTTCCAAGGTGAAGAGAGCTAATAACTCATCCTCAGCAATAACACCATAAGCAAGGGGGACGGAGTGTGTGTGTAGGGCAGCTAATATTTCATACTTAGGAATAAAACACACACACACACACACACACACACACACACACACACACACACACACACACACACACACACACACACACACACACACACACACTTGTTGGACAGCCAAAGCAATACAGCAAGGTCCTTCAAAGACGCCCACAATCTCAGCTCCATATTCAGACCTGACACTGGCAGGAACAAGATGGCAGCAGCTAATATAAACTGGAGATGACTTTTAATAATTAAAACTAGCAGGACGTGTATCAGCCAGGGACCTTGGATAGAACTGTGCCGCTAATGAGACATTAACACTTGCACTGTTATGGGGGAATTAAAAGAAGGAATATCGCTTTAAAGTGCTCTGAATACGTTGCAAGCATCTGTTCTGCAGCGGTGAAAAATGTAAGCACAAAACAAATTAGCACCGAACCTCAGAAGTCAAATCACGTTCTTGATAAACAAACCACCCTCATGTGAATCAGGTCTTAAATCTACCTCAAACGAAAGGGGTTTAATTACTCTATTAATCCCTGCCTCCCTTGATACTAAGTACTAACAATGCATACAGCGAGGGGAGTTATGCTATCATTCACTCTACCCGTCTATTGTTTTCCACTGTTAGCAGTTTGGATATATTACCTTAATTATGAGACCAATAGGGTAGTTCCCCCACCAACAGGCCTGTAGGAGGGCTTTATTATATGAACACAAAAACAGCACTGCTCCAAGGTGAGAAATTGTACTCCAGCTTAGAAAGGCAAACGGAGACAATTACACGGCCCTATAAACATGACGGGTAGGCATGAATAAAACTGGCGTGTGTTCGCACACACGGCGCTCACCAACACTTTTCTCCAGAATACATCCTGCGTTAGTTCTGTGTTGTTTCCACAGAATTAGGAGGGCTTTAGCTAAGCTCAGTGGGGACAGGCCGGGCTACAAATCAAGGGGCTGAAATAGAGAGAAATTCAGTAAACCTCTATGGTAGCTTAGGTGCCAAATACTCCAACCTACTTGATAGGCATGAAGCAAATTCTAATATGGTTCTTCTGAGGAAAACCTTCTTCTGACTTCAGAGAGCCCATAAACTCTGGCAGACCTTTGATACAGGTGACTTTTAAGACCATATTATGTTGGCAAGCACCTCAGACACTGATGAAGATTGAACCTTGAAATATGCCCTACAATATTAAAATATGATAGCAGAGCTTAGTTGGAAATATAAGGTTGTTTTCTTGAATTCTACAGAATTAAGGTGTCGGCAGATAAAAAGTCTGCGGTAATTCAACTGTACGACTGAAATCAATACAAAAATGCAGTAAAAATAAAAAAATGTGAGTGTTAAAGGAACTATTTTCTCTGTTAACCACTTAGTGTGAGTGATGGCGTCCCGCTGTACATGAACACAATGTTCTGCCAAAGTTAAGTCTGCTGTGGTGTTGAAATCATTCTTCTGGTTTGAAGTGGCAGCTAGAAAAGACACAATGTAACGTTCTTCTGGGGGCCATTCACGATTAGTTGACCCAAAATCTGATCACGGTGCCCGATAACCAGATTGGATTATTATTTTGTGTCATTTTCTCACTTGATAGCGTTTTGTGTCTAGATGACTTTTACTTTTTACTTGCCATTACAACAACCTGAACAGATTAAGCTTTAATGCATTTTGCGTAGAAGATTTTCTACCCCCCCATCTTTTTATCAGGGATGTAGCTCAGTGGCCATGAAGGAATATACCATTACATATTTTATTAGAGCCAACAAACTAAAAGTTCCTTCAATGGACATTATACTAAACCTATATGCAATCCCTGAACAGATGTGAGAAGCATTCAGAGGTTAACATGGTTCTTCAGAGTCAGCCCAAAAATGTTTTTCTATCCCATCTCGTCCTCTAAAGCAGTGCTTCTCAAACCTTTTCATACCAAGGACCACTTAACAAATGAAAAAACACTCGCGGACCACCTAACTCCACAAATATCCAAAAACACATCGTTTTTCTAGAACAGATTACAAATCGCTTGAAAATGGTACAAACAAGTGGCAACATGTGTGATGAAGGTGTTGCGCTGGGCTATATGATGCAACCAAAAATGAAACTTAAGCTCACTCCATTGCGGAAATATTTGCGCGAGAGTGCGGAAAACTTTAATTAATTAATTAATTTCAAATGTGAAATGTTACCAATATACTCACGGACCACTAGGGGGCGCTCACGGACCACCAGTGGTCCACGGACCACACTTTGAGAAGCACTGCTCTAAAGCAGAGGAAAGTGTTCCATTATGCAAGAGTCTGCAACATATTGGCAGATTACTCTTGCCAGTTCAAGACTGCAAATTAAACTCTCAGGTCACTTCATACAACAGATCAATGCGCTAAAGCTCTTGTAAATAAAAAAAACTCCTAAATTAGCTAAACTTGATCATCAAGTCACTATTTGGTCGTATTTATTTATTTATTCTGTCTGAGCTCACCTGCTGCTTCTTTCTAGCAACACTCTGCTCCACATTCATAAAAAATGCACACGTGGGAGTTCCCCTTGGTAAGGGTATTTGTGATGTGAATCAAAATGTATTCAAATGAAGTAAAGTTTGAACTAAAGTCTTCAGACCTCTTTGTGCTCTCCACAGCCATTAAGAAATGTACACTATGTTTTTGAGGATGTTCTACTCAATTGACTTTCAACGGAGGATCTGCAGCTTACTCCTACACTCTGCTGGGCTTTTTCATGCACGCGTTTCATTTGAACTGCCCCTTGCTGTCAACACTCTGAGGGCGTGGGGGGGGTGTTTGTACTTTATTTGTTGAGCGAGAGAAGTTATTCTCCCGAGACGCCAGCGGGAGATTTGCATGCATTAGAGCAGCCGAGGGCAACTCAAATCCATTTCGCAGCTCAAGAGCACCATTATAACACGCGCATGTAGAGAAACAAACACAGACACATACACACTGACAAAATGGACGGATTAAAAGTAATGTGCAGGGAGGAAATTGCGAAACAGGGCTGGTGGAGTTAAAAATGTAAATTTCTAGAGCAGCGACATAATAACCGATAATAACCTTGCTGCTCTTCATCACATGTGGGCATCACTGAAGGTGCATTGCTCATCAACACTGTAGATTTCTGGAACATGTACCGTGATTCATACCTTTACCCCAGCTGTCACTCTTTCTATTTATCACACGGACATAGAGAAGTGAGAGACAGCCTGAGGCAGTGATCAAAAACAAAGGACACATTGTTCTAGACACACGATGCTTTTCAGTGTTCGCTACAGCTGGTAGGTTTGAAAAGGCATGACTAAGAGCTAAGGATACATTTGTTATGAACACAGAAACATTTGCTGCAGCAGAGGACAGAAGAAGGAGAGTGAGGTTAAATCATGGGTGTTTTTCCCTTACAGTATTGTGCTGTTTGAGGTACTCCGCTGCATTCTCCTCAGCATTGCCTCCAATCTCCCCAATAAGGATGATGCCCTCTGTCTTGGGGTCATTCAGGAACACCTCCAAACAATCAATGAAGTCCGTACCGTTGAATGGATCCCCGCCAATACCTAGCAGGAGACAAAACACACACTAGTTGTAGACTGCTAAAATTCCTGTGAACATTTGAGGATCACATGGCTGTTCAGTAAAACAAGAGGCAGGTGGAACTCATATCTTTGGCACTGCCTGAAATGTTTAATGTGAGCAGAATGTCTTATTAGGTTCAGCATTACTCTTCATCTAACACACAACTAATGAGGCTTATGGAATTACTTCATAAATGTGTTTTCTTTTTACACATTGTGCCACAGAGAGATGTAATGTATTTGCTAAAACAACTCAAAAGAAAAAAGACCAGTCTCTTTAGCTGCTAAATGCTCCCTTTAGTGCAGAGCAGCTTAGGTGTAGTGCAAAGTGGGTTGTTAAGAGTTTTTTTATTATGCAACAGCTGCGTCTGGAAACAGCTCGGTGAGAATCAAAACAGTAAAGTCAGAAAATCTAATCAATAAGCCGAGAGATGCTAAATTGCTTCATAGATATGAGTAGAACGTCATTCATTATTCTCTGTAGGTTTGAAACGTCAAGAAAACCCTTTTTTTAATTTACAAATATCGGTTGAAGTTGTTTTAAGGCTTAAACAGAACAGTGTGTAGTGCTTTTTAAATAATGTAAACATTGACTGGGGTTATAGGTGCTGCATTTTTTTTTATTTGACTTCAAAGTCGTTATAAAAGTTTGTTTGATTGCATTGCTACCCAATCAACCCTTCTCTCTGTATTGGAATTTAATGACCCCTCTTGGTTCAAGAATACATGACTTGTGACTTTATTCCCAAATTTCAAGGGCTCTGTTGTCATTTTCAAATATCATTTCCACAGAATATTACACCAGGATCTATAATAGCATGGGCAAACCTTCCACAGATACATATTATAAGACAAAATGTCCACTGGATTTATATTCTCTCCAATAAAAAAAACCTGGCAGGACCAAGAAGAGAAACGACATGAATAATTATCACAGAGAAGCACATTAGCAGCAACAAAGATGACAGTGATATTAAATATTGTATTAGCTGTAATTTGCAGCAGCCCCTAGGTCAGTCTCAGACTTAACAAGTCACGAACAGAACTACCAATAAACCTTCTTAATGAACTCTACAATATTTAATACCGTTGCAGCGCTGGCTTTATGAAGTCTGGCTGGAGGACACCCAGTAATTCAAATGTCTAAATAATAATGAAGCAAAGTTGTTTTTCAGTTAATTTTGGTGTCCAACGAGCCCTCACATGGAGATTTGTTGGAAGAGATTTGTGATATGGTTCAACTTTATACTTGTTGTATTGCCAATAAGTAATAGAGCTGGGTTTCATTACAGTAAGTCTGCATGATATGATGGAGTTAAAACAGATTATTCCCGGGTTGCGGTCGGATAATCCAAAAATCAGCTCCTAAATTCTAACCCTATCTCCTATTCCTTGACCTCTGAGTGAAACGTCACGGGGTTAAGGGATAGTGGATAGGAGAATTCAAAAGGACTTAGGAGAAGAGACTGCTGTACTTTAGAGAATCCGACTGCACTTTCACTCTCCGACGTGTTTATGATGCGCCAGCGGACGTCATAAATGTGCGTCGCTGCTGTGGGGAAACTATGGAAACTACAGTTTTCTATACAGCGGACTACAACATGGATCAACCTGATCTCACCAGAATGCATGACTCCTCCACGACTCCTTAAAGAGCATCTTGAAGGTTTTTATTTATTCTACATTTATGCTTAAACTTGCTTGAAAATTACAATTAAAAAAATGAATGCAGCATTTGATATGTTTTACGAGACATAAGGGGCAGGATTCAGAGGGAAAGGCAATTTTGAG